CATTTCAGATTAATATCTAATGTCATTGACACCTCTTGGTACCTTCTAATTCACGAAAACAGCTGTGCCATCATTGTTTTTTTTTACAGACATAGCTACTGTTTTGTAATAGTGTACTGGAGTATAAAAATGTAAATTGTTTTGGAGTTTTTTTCTGTATGATTATAACAGATGTTGCAGATGCATTAATTAAAATTCACAAAAACAGACATATCTCATAGTTGCATCATTCCAAAAACTATTAAAACTGGTGAATTCATTTATCATTATATGGAAATCCCACATTATCTTTCAGCATATCCAATTTCTTACTTTTATCAATTACTATAATATTATACAAAATATCAATAATCACTCATGTCAAAATATGTAAATGTTGGCACTATATGCATCAATAGACAGATACGCTTGCATGAACTCATTACCATTCAACAGACAAACAACCAAATTAGAATATTCAGGAAATAAATATGTCAAAAATCAATTATGTGTAATACATCATAAAATTAATGCAAATAGATAAAAACTCCATGTGCTAACTTTTTCACTATCTATAATTGTGTTAACTGTTCATGCAGAAAAACTGTATCAACAACAACTGTATCAACAACCTATGCATTATTTGAATAATGAAAATTATAAATCAGTAATAATATATTAATTTAAAATCTAAAAATATGATATCACAATACACAGTGAGATATACTCATAAATAATGCTTATACATTAAAAATCAGTTAACTTTGTTATCATTTAATACACATCAGCTCTAGGGACAGTAATACTCATTACACTATTAACAATTTACATGTATACATACTTAACTCAATCAATACACAATTAACCCTATACACAAAGTTATAGTATTATCACTATACACACTGATCTAAATACACAACAAACTAATAATACACACCAGACACAATATACAATAAAACTTAATACACAAGTACCTAATGTACATCCAGCAATATACAAGTTAGGAGGTGTGGTAGCTCAGTGAATAAGGCCAGAAGGTCCTGGGTTTAATTCCATTGCTGGTCGAGACAGTACCTCAACATTTTCCAGTGTCATTTCCCCTTGCCCATGCTCCAGGAGAAAGGGCCTGGCAGGGAATAGCATCTAGTAGCTTGAGGAAGGGACTGGCAGGGAACAGCATCTAGTAATTTGGATGGGTCGAAAAAGCATTGTCCTGTGTATACGTTGGCAAGCACGTAAAAGATCCCTTTGCAGTTATAATTTGATGAAGGGTAGGCAGAAACATTGCTGTCCAGGCAAATTGCCCTCATTTCCCACTGAATAGTTTATGCTGTCTTCATTAGCCTGGTTGGTGCAGAAATGTAGGATGTTAAACCCAAATTCATTTCATAACTTCATTCAGGAAGACGACAATAATCAACGTGTGGTTATGATTTTCAGTATAAATACATGTATTACATGTAGGTGTATAGAAATTGAATTACAAAAGACATTTAGCTCATCTTTTACTCGATGATAGTTAATAACATTGTAGCCACTCGTAATTATTCAAAATAATTCATACATCTATGTTTTTACCTGCTTTAATAACAGTACCTGTGGGAATATTAGTTGCTGCACCTTTTACTTATTACTACATATTGCATAGTAATCAAACTGTGAGCTGTATATATCACATCTGTAATGCATACTTTTACTGTGGTATATAGAATCTCAGTAATGATAACAAGCCAATAGAACATGAAGTATCTTCAACATACCATGAAATATCAAATATACCCCACACCTCAACTATGGCATTACACTTTACATTGCACAGCTTGAACTTGGGAGTTGTATTTTTTTAAAGGGAATGTGACCAGCCCTAAATGACATTATGGTTATTTTTTGTTCTAAATTTATGTAAATATACAACAATATGTACTTATTCTCCAAGTCATGTGTTTTTGTTCTGAATTCTTTTTTTCAGGAACACACTTTTTGTTTTCAGAATCTAATTTAAGCTTTTTTTTCCAGAGAAACTTTTTGTTTATAAAATTTTCCAAAAATCATGCAAGATGGCAAATATTGCCTTGACTACAAGTTAAGGCAAGCTTTCTATCTTTTTAACAATAACAGTTGAAGCTTTGATGTAAGGTCATAATATAAACTAAAATCAGACTAAATATATGTACATTTCAAATTGATATTGACATAAGGGTCTCACTATAGCCAGAAAAATTAGAAGTTAAACAATCGCATAGCTACCCAAGGTTGTGGCTGTTCTGTGGTAGGCCAGTATATCAAACAGATTTTATAAGATTATAAATATATAGGCTACTACGACATAGAATGACATAAATATGTAGCTTACTTGAGTTAACTGTTAATAGAGGTAGAATAAAGAATGGAATGGATTATATACATGTACTAAGGCATACCCACGTGGAGGCACACATGGTACTTAGATAATTGTGTTAGAAAAGTTAAAGCTCGAAACATGTGCAACGTTTTGTCGGCACCCACAAAAATTTCTAACGAAAACTTCATTAAAGTGCAGAAATATGAATGGCAATCGTGATGGTATGCAACAATGCTTGCTTGTTGTTGACGTCTGCTTCCACAATAAGGGATATTGCCGACAACACACAATGCATCAACTCTTATTCAATATTATTTTCATCTTGTCCCTACCCTCCCTATAATGTCTATTGTAACAATTAACAATACACCCCCCACTTCCACTAGGTGCTTGGGGCACCCTCTCTTTTAAAAATCCTGTTATACATCTAATCCCAGTTGTCAAGAAATAAGATATTAAAGGCAAGAGGCATTTTGTGGGTTAAATATGTTTAGAAATGGATAATTTAATTTAATTGGGGGTTTATACAACATAATTTAAAAAAAACTCTAAATATATTTTACAAAAATTATGTATTAATAGGATGGAGTATAATTTGAATATCCGTGCTATCAATTCACCGCACTTAATCATTTACATATTTTCATTTTACATCAAAGAATGTTTAAACTGAAATCAAGTCTAATTAGTAATTAATTTACACCTATTTTATTAAATGGATTTTAAAGTGGAAAATTTTAGCAGGTAGTTTTAACTGACAGTCGTGTTAATTGATTAAAGTGATAGACGGTCACTTTAATATAATCCTATAGACTAGACATAGTTTAACATTACCTGATGAATTAACACCCATGCGAAGGTGTTAATACCACTATATATATATAACCGCGACTGATTGTTTTATTAAGGAAAGGGCTGTAAAGATTCTATCAAACACCTTCATTTCTCAATATATACCCCTTGATCTACGGTCAACAATAACATTCCACAATCTTTTACTGGCTACAATCAAAGAAAAGACTCCGAACAAAACTGTTTTTATAAACTGAGCAAGAATAACACACCTCCCAGGTCTTAATTCCGACTTGTTATCAAATCATCAAAGAGGCACAAGCAAGTTGTATTTATTTCTTTATCACTGGTATAAAGCTTAAAAAACCCACCTCTTACACTCACTCTAAGTTGATTAAAGAAATATTGCCCTGTTTATTATTGTAAAAATATTATCATATATCAAACTATAAATTCGGTATACCACTATATGAGGTAATATAATGTACCAAACAGTCAGAATTCTGATTAAGACAAAGCTTTTGTGCCATTGTTCTAAGCAAATGCATTAGTGGTATATTTCACAAAATTTAAATCTGTGCAGTTGACTGAAAATTCACCTGTGAATAAATCTCTAATTTTTAATGTCATGGCAAAAAGGTTTGTACATTTTGTTAGTGTAAGATAGAAATATCACCTCCATGTGTGAAATATAAAGTACACCATAAATTAGTAAGAATTAATTGAATATTTATGGTAAAATATAAATTGATGTGTGAATATAAATTAGGTATGATTTAATACAATAATTATTGCAAAATACACATAAGAACGCATGAAATACTGAATATTAAAGTAGCTATGTCTCTAACTCATTATCATCCAAAGTCTTCAACATTGAAAACACAAATTTTTTGTCAGTTTAAATCAACATTGATGATGTGATCTTACCGGGAAAAGATGGGTTTCTGATATCCAATATTTAAGACAAAATAAACATTTTACCATTGGTACACGAATCGTGTACCATAATGCGTTTCAGCACCATTTGTAACAAGGGACATATTTCACAGGTCATGTCAAACAGTGACCCATATTCTTATCTGGAGGGCATGCGCAATAAATACAATCGGTGTAGACTGGAATAATCAGACGCAAGAGATTACCATTCAATTGAGATTTTTGGCGTATATCGCCGAACATAAAGGATTTGAAACGATTGAATGTAAATTAGTTAATATACATTCATATTATATTATTATATGCGTTGCGACCCATTTGTGTCAATTTCTAGGTCCCAAATATTAGCGATTCAGCCCCCTTAATATCATATATACTAAAACAAGTGTGAATTATTACATAAAACATTAGAATAGGTACAATTTATAGGATTGAATAATGAATATGATGCAAAGTTAAATCAAGTAAATATTCTATTTATGTTCACCATATTGAGTGTTTTAATAGAAATTTGTCTCTTAGAAAATCTTATGTGTATTCCAGTGGACAAAGCAATTACATCCCATCTCTAGTGTGTATTAAAAGCATGTATTATATAATAACTATGTGTATTATACTATATATTATTGTTTGAATGTAAATACAAAACCTATTCAGATAATTTTGAACGACACTCAGTATAAAAGACAAGAGGTCGTCGCTTCTGTGTTGTTTACATCATCAAAGTAGAGCGTGTGTGTATTGTAGCAGTCTTCTGGTTAGCGATACGGTTACCCTTTAACACGCTTTTACAATATCACAACAGTAAGGTAACGGAATAGTCCCGTTGTAAGAAAACCGCACACTGACATCACCCGGCGTCCATGCATTACTACTTGTCTATTACGACACGCACGTGCTTCATTAATCATGCACCTGCAAGAGAAGAAAAATATCCAACGTTTCTTACCTGCATGATTCGGCCTTCGGCGCCAATAAGGGTTCCAGCAGAAGAGAAGTAACCATACAACTGCTGTGAATTGGTCTTATAGCCGCCATTCTCAGTGGTTTCGTACAGTACAATCTCTAATATAGCTGTGTTCTTGCCCATTACAGAAAACACGAGAGTGCATAAAACTATTAAACCTATTATCATTTTGCTACATAATCTTTCTTTCGCCGAGGCATATTTCCCCTTTAATCCATGGGAGCCACATGAAACTTTTCAACACTACTATAACCACAATTGTGCCCCCTTTACACCGTTTATACGCGAATAGAGTCGAGCATCAAAAAAGAACGAAAAGTCACGTGATCAAGTGGTTTCCCCGCCTACTATGAGTGTAAGCGGCCAATGAATAATACATTTGCTCATTCACCTAAACACTGTCCCCTGTAGCGGACTTCTTTGACGCGCATATATGCCCAAATTATGAATGAATGTTAACTCCAAAATTAGATTGACCCACTTATCGAATTTTAAGTGAAAGCCACAGCAAAGCAGAACTCGCAGAAAATTGACAAAAATTGTTTGGTTATTTGTTAGAGGAAGAAGGTAACCAACGGGGAATACAATTCGTTTATTTTGGTTTGTTTGTAAAGGTCTGCGTGGGAGCTGATTGTCAATAATACAACAGTGTGGTATTTACTGAGATCGGGCAAATTCATGTAGGATACTAACAAATACAAATGTAGAATTCCCGTGAAAACTTTCATACCTTATTGTCGAGTTTATCTTCACCACAATATACATGCGCACAGCTCATATAGCTGGAATATATAGGTAGAACTTGAACATAACTTATATGTTACATAACACGCTGCTACAGTATCAAACGAATAAATTTTATCCTAGTTATTCCTGATATTGTAATAAAATTCAATAAAAAAAAAAAATCACCATTTCCAGATCTCATCCATCAGTTTAAACATTTTGGAGAAATTAGCACTCAAAAGACACCAAACTACTATGCATTATTTTTATCTCGAGATTTCATTTCTCGATTTCATCATTTGCAATATCCAACTCCCCAGTTTTTCTCCATCCTCCTACCAATCATCATTATCATCGTTGCCCACAGAAATGAAATGGGTTAACGTCTGCACCGACTTGGCGAATGACGACGGTGTACTATGAGTGAAATTTTGCCCGGGCAGCGGCCTTACGACCCACTCTTATTTCAAATTCCATCTGTCAAAGGTTCTTTTATGTGTACGCAAATGTGTGCACGGGATCTCGGTTTTTCGTTCCATCCGAACGATTAGACACTGTTATTGTTAGGCCGTTGTCGACAGGTTAGTGTTAGTATTCCTAAAAGTCTATCAACTTTTAAGGGGGCGTAGTCCGCGGTTGTCGGTTGATCAACGAAACTGACTTTACACTCGCTGGCCCGTGCTGAAGCCGATTGGAAATGAAATGGGGTTTAACGTCCTACTGTTCTGCTCCGAACCGGGCTAATGAAGACGGACATACGCCATACAGTGTTCAATGAGGAAAATTTTGCCCGGACAGCGGCACTACGGCCTACTCTTATATCGAATTCCAACTGTCATGGGATCTTTTACGTGCACGCCAATGTGTACACGGGACCTCGGGACCAGTCAGGTGAAGCCGATTGGAAAGGGGGCACAAATTAGCTGCAATTTGTAGCCGTGATAAGTCTTATTCACGGCTGCAATTGATACACTATTCGAATATTTGAGCAAGTAAAATTAGGTTCAATTGCAAAATTTTCAACACATATCATCACAGTTCGCATGGAAATAAGTAATTATGTTACAAATAGTGAAGATTGGAACACTGAAATCATAATCTTATCTTAGCGAACAGTGATTCTGGTTCGGCGGCCATTTTAAATTGGGGGATCACGTGGCTAAGTGGGTAAGACGCTGGCTCGCTAGCCTGGAGGTCGGGTGTTCGATCCCTGCATTGGCCGAGAAAGTTCATCACGATTTTCCGGCGTGGTTTCCCCCTTGTCAGTGATGCAGGACGGAGGGCCTGACAAGGACAGCTGTCTAGTCGTTCGGATGGGACGAAAAACCGAGGTCCCGTGTACACATTGGCGTGCACGTAAAAGATCCCTTGGCAGTTGGAATTCGATATAAGAGTAGGCCGTAGCGCCGCTGCGCCGCTGCCCGGGCAAAATTTCCCTCATAGCACACTGTATGGCGTATGTCCGTCTTCATTAGCCCAGGTTAGGAGCAGAACAGTAGGACGTTAAACCCCATTTCATTTCATTTCATTTCCATTTTAAATTCAACAGAAATTCCGCATAGCAGTTGGGTTAAATCAAATTATATAATATACGGTAAGGTTGAACCTTTATCTCTATGGGAATTGGTTTATTATATGTTAAGCTATGTAGAAATGACTACAAAACTTGCTCCAAGGGAGGCCTTAAGACGTTCCACCATGCTGTGACTGGAGAAAGACGAAGACATTAGTAGTGGAACCATTTCTAGGCACAAATAAGTTGGAATGGAATGTTGCCCGGGTAGTGGCAACTCAGTTGGGGGACTGGATGCGCAGTAGAGCCCCCCCCCCTCCCTTCCCCTTCCCCTTCCTCTTTCTCCACTGACCACTCCCCATTATATCGGGGTTGAAGCACATAGTGCCGTTGAAGATTCTGAAAACGAATCCCTCGAATTTAACAATTTTGTTTGCCCAAACATACACATTCTTTATCCCCAAAATGCATAACTGGAACGCAAAAACCAAAATTTACTGGTGTATATATTGGATGGCGGGAAACCTTTTTGCTCTTTTCTTAAGGGTGGGATGGCTGAATGATCTGAGGATGGGCTTTAGATCATGACGTCTGTCATTAAGTCAATTGGCGTGGTTTCGTTTCCTAGCTTGTACGTGACAACAAACATGATCGCCTGTCCAACCTAGTGGGTTTCCCCCTAGTCATCCGGTTTCGTCCCACTGCTAGAGACCCCTGCGCGTAAATGAATTATTGAAAAAAAACTAAACCATATGTTAGTCCCGAAATTACTTCTATTACCCTTTAAGGGGGGTTGGATGGTCGAATGGTTAGCACGTGCGTGCTGCGCTGTATCAAAAAGTCTGTCATCGAGTCAACTGGCGGGGTTTTGATTCCACGGTTGTACGTGACAAGGAGTAGGGTCGTCTGTCTAACCTCGTGGGTTTTCTCCGGGTCCTCCGGTTTCCCCCCACTGCTAAAGACCCCTACGCGCAAGCGAATTATTGAAAAAAAATTGAACCATGTGTTAGTCTCTATTACCCTTTAAACCACCATCATCTCCATCTCATTTGGTAACTCTAGATCATATATTTTTTTAACACTAGATCATTTATTAGCTTTTAACTATAAATCTTTTATCTTATTTTAACTCTATTATATTTTAACTCTAGATCATAACTTATTATATTTTTACTCTAGATAGATCATTTATTATATTTTATCTACAGATCATAACTTATTATATTTTAACTCTATATAGATCATTTATTATATTTTAACTCTGGAGCATTTATTATCTTTTAAACCACCACCATCTCTAGAACATTTATTGTTATCTTTCAGACCTTGTATCATTTTTTTTTCTAGATCACGTATCTCGGGATCGCTTGCTGTTATTTTATGACCATCTCGTGACTCTTCTTAGCATCACCTCTAAAGATGCAATTTGTAAACTCTTTTATATAGAATATTGGTGCCTCATCTCTCGATCTTATCATTAGTATTCCCATTTCGAGATAGCATTATTATCTCGATACCAAAACTATCTCCATAGATCTCATAATTATCCTTACACCACTAGTATCGCCACCCTAGATCTCGGTATATCTATCACCAGGACCGCCATTTCTGGATATCTTCATTATCAATATACCACTTAAATACTATCCTCACGTTTATTACCTATAGATACCACCAGTGTCATCATCGCTAGATTTCATCATTATCTAGATACCAATACTGGGCACTAGTGTCATATTCTCTCATCTCTATAGCTCTCATCATTATCTAGATACCAATGAACTAGTGTTATCATCTCTAGATTTCACCATTGTCTAGATACCACTATACTGGGCACTAGAGTCATCACCTCTAGCAGCTCTGATCATTATCTGGATAACATTATTATCCTAATCATTCTAGAGCTCCCCAGATAGTCGATTAACGATTCTACCGTCATGCAGGATGAAGCTAAAAAGGTTTTTACATTAATGTTTTCAAAATACAATGAGTATATATTTCTCGGTAAACCCGGGTGGATAAATATGCACATTTCTATTTTTAGGGTATGTTTGTGTGTGGTAGTGTGTGAGTGTGTGTGTGTGTGGGGGGGGGGGGTCTGTACTCTACATCCCCACTCCCTAGTACCCGCGGTGTACATTCATGCGGATATTTTCCTCTTTTATTAATTTTTTCTCGGTGATTCCGTAAACTACTGCATCCGACATCCGAGTATTTCTTACTCTCAACCAGGCATGATTCCATCAATTTGATAGAACATTGTCTCCTGGAGCATTATAATTATTGTATTAAGACAAACTTGTCTACATTGTAATAACGGTAATTACTGCATGTTTTTTCTAAGAAGAGAAAGGTCAGGGTTCCACATCTAACAAATCATAAACTATAGACTTGTCATTGTGATCGCTATTGTTCCCGTCTTCAGCTTTTAGCATAACATAGTACAAAGAGCTAAACATAATAGTTTTTTCTTGTTCAAAGAGAATACGTCAATAAAGAGTGAAATGAATATGGCGCGATACATGATAAATAAATCACAATAATTACTCAATCTATGTGACAACCGCGATCATAAAATATTGTCAAGCTAGAATAAAAAAATACAGCCAAGTGTTAAATCATAGCTCAACATAGACCGGGAAGACGTGTAGGAAATAACAAAGTTATAATTTATTAGAACATCAAAACCTAGAAATATAAAAGTTTTTGTTTTTTTTTGTTTTAATATGTTTTTGTTTTAGTGAGTTTATTTGCAATATATCAATAGGCCACAAAACAGTGCATGATTTGCTAGAAATCATATTTGTGGAGTTAAATACCCACAAAACATTATTACTTTTGGATTAGATATTGGGCGTGTCTAGTAAAGAGAAAGTGACAAAGAAGCAAAAGGGGATGGTGGGGCAGCGTAAATGATATACCCCCGACCCGACCCGGCGTTATCACCTTTTGTTTTATTCTGGGCAGTGGGCACGTCACGGATCCACACTTTACCAAAAAAGGCAGGTTGACTATTGCTACTGTGCACATAAGATATCCAGTATTATCCATCCACCAAATCCAAGGGGAAGAGCAGTACCAACATTTACCCCCCCCCCCCCGA